GGGATGGCTACGTGCAAATAGTCGCGCCTAGCACACGCTTGCCCTGCAGCAAATCGGTAATGCTGGGGAGCAAATTCGACCATATAGGGGAGGACAGGATGCAGTTGTGCGGCTACCTGCCCAGACCACGCGTACGCGTAGATCTAGTGGTGCTTTGGATATGCGGGATTCAGAAGGAAAAGAAGGAAAAGACGAAGCTGAAGGCAACCGTGACCCTGCGGAAAGACCTCTCTGGCACATTCACAGCGCGTTTCACTCGTTGCGATGGAAAGGCGGCAGAGACGTCTATTGACTTTTGCGCGGAAGAGATACTTATCAAGGGTGACGGTAAAGATGCACTGTCGGTGCAGTCTGGGAATTTCATGGTTCTTGACGGATGCCACAAAACCTGGACGTTGTAGATTTTAAAAAAAACACTTCCACCACGTCCCATTGACCACCGTTCCCTTTGCGCGGCTTCTTCACCCGGGTTGAGACGCTATTTAGAGGCACTGCCCGACTCGCCGGCCGCATTGTTATAATCCGAACCCCCTGAGCCATAATGCTCATGTCCTTGTTCCTCGCTCTCGTCTTTCTGCGCAACGGGTCAATTACCGACTGGCCGCCGCACTCCGTTACTGTCACTGGAAACTCACCGTCTGTGGGTTGCTTGTTTTTCCTTCGGTGCTTCCGCCGTTCGACATGCGGAGCTCACTTCGTTTCTCAGTTTGTGGCTGTTGTCTTTGGGTCTTGTGTTCGTGTGGCCGGGAGACGTACCTCAACTTGTGTGTGGCCCCTAAGGATACGGCAGGCAGCAACACTTTGCCTTGCTGGGAAGTCATGATGCGGGTGAAACGGGATGCCATCTTTGGCTTTGCTTGACGATTCAAATGTCACGATGTTTCAATGGTTTGAAAGTTGAAGCAGAACAGACAAGGGGAGACGGCCCTCATGCTTCAGGCATCAGCAACGGGAAGTTAAGAGCCAGGCGGGCCCGCATTCTGGACGCGTCTCCTGTGTATACAATTATCACCTCGTTTGGCGGGGACACGTTCTGGATAAACATTACGCGCCAAGCATCGTACTGATGACAGCTCAAACCTGCATGAAAGAACCCGGTATTGCGTGCGGAACGATAAAGACGAATGGCAATTGTGGTCGCCGCGCTGAAACTTGCTCCGCAAGTACGCCCTGTTTATAAGGGCTAGCCAACCAAGACCTGGCAACCCTACCAACGGATACGGCTTTGTTCCTCAAGCAACCCTTGCCAGGCGGGCTTCTGGGTCGCCTATATTGCCGGATGCCCTCCAAGCGTGTGAGTCACCCGGCCTACGCTCATCCGGAATGCGGCCTCGCCCAATTCTGCTGCTGGTCGGTAGGTGGCCCCGTTACAACGCACAACGAAGTCATACCCCCCTGCTGTTTTCCGGAGCCCCGTTGGCGAACGGTCAAGCTTAGAGGCACAGAAGCTGACGTGACAGCAAAATTACATCCCTTCTGGGAGTCCGTCAGCCAATCGTAAGCGGCTCGCTCTCAAGGAAAGAGGCTAGGAGCTTGCACCGTCGCTCATGACGGTCTACTCTCCTCCACTAATCGCTTTTTAACAAGGTGCTTCGCTACTCCGCAGCTGACCGCGTCTGTTTGCCCAACCTCCTTGTCGCCACCATTGGCATGTCCAGGGCCCTACGAAATGCATAACAAGATGACTTATAACTTCAACTGATTAGTCCCTCCCCCTGTATGCTCGATTGGTGTTCCTCCCATGTTACCACCGGCTGCTCAACGTCCCTCTTAACCACTTTCCCGTTTAGGTGTCTGTAGCCTTTGCGGGCACGGGGTTGAGTCACAGTCTCTCCGGCAGAGGTGGATACGCAAGTGTTCAGTATTTCCGGCTGCTGTTAATGGAATGAGCCGTCGTTTGTGCACGAGACCAGAACGGCTGTAGTGGCCGTTAAGGACATGTCCAGCAATCTCGATCATGGTGTGCTGCAGGCTGTAGAGGATAGATCTGCTTTCATTAAGCCTTGTTGCGGCCAACACGCCATGCCGTCCATAGTGAGTAAGGAAGACTACGCAACGGTCAGCTACGTGGGGATCCAAACCGATATCAACATTTTCGAAGGAGATAGTTCCTATAGTTCCGCTGTCGACGTCGAGCCCATTCGCACCCGCATCCATGCCTATCTAACGCGGGGAAAACGGGATCTCTGCATTCCCAATGCCTTCTTCTACGCCGACGGCTGCTTCTCGGCCACCCCATCTGCCGACGGCGCCCTGCAAATTAGCATTCAGATCTTCAGTCCCTCTAACCTGTCGAGACAGCCGGGCGACAGTGTCCGACTTTGACGAATATCGCCGCCGCCTGCCAGAACAATGGTGCCCCATGGTGACCATTATCGGCTCCGTTTCGGCTTGCTCCGGCATTCCCTCCGGCTTTCTTGAGCCCCGCCGCTTCACCCTCGAAACGTCCGTCTACGACACCTCGAAGGCTGCTCCGGTTCCGTTTTCAGTCGCCTGCTTCCCGCAAAGTGCGAAGCGTTGGGAAAAGGTCGAGATCCCTCTAGCAGGAGATTTGCTCAGCATCACCGCCAAAGGTCGCTGGCCGCACCACGGACACGAATCAACTGGCCCTCCGCGTCCTCAATCTGGCCTACCTGCTGAGATCTGCCTCGGCCCCGGTTACGCCGGCCTCAACTGCCACTCCACCTTCCAAGCGGTCTACCCGCTAGGAAGGTCGAGCACCTCCGTCTACGCCCTCGAAGAGACCCCGTCCATTGGAGCCTGCCGGCGAAGCTGCTAACCCGCCCGGCGAGAATCCATCTCGCAGAATCCGACCAGACGGCGTCTTGATCCGGCCCACGTAGAGGATATTACGGAATCTCCACCCATCCCATCTTCTCCTTCAACCGCGGTTGCCCCTGCAGAATCCTCTTTTGCGTCAATTCCCTCTCCGGACCTTGATGGCGGCTCTCGCCCGCATCGTAACCGCCATCCCCCAAAGAGATTGCAGGGTTAGTTTAAGCGGGGGAATGTGTAAACAACAATCTCACTTCTATCCCTAAATAAGAAAATGAACGACCTACCACGCCGCCCTGCCATGATAAGCACTATCAACCTGAGTTGCCCGTTATTTCATACCACCCGGCTATGGCTCTGCCTCTCCCGAAGCATCCACCCTTACAAAGCACTTTCGTCGCTTTTGGGCGCACACATTCTCTTGTGCAGTGCTCTTTCCCACAGTATGCTGCAACCTTGCATCGCGCGCATTTCTTGGTCCTCTCCGTCTTCCCGCATACTCTACAAGCCGTAACTTCCGCGCACACCTGCCCCTCTCCCCCAACCTCGGAATCTTCTCCTGGATGTTTTGTCGCATTTTCCTTTCGCACTCACCTTTGTCGCATATGCCGCCGACAAATACCCCCACGAAGGGACCACTCGCTTTATGGAGCCAAGACATGGGCATCTGCAAAACTGTCGCGATAGGCGAGCCGCAGATTCCGCAAGAAGGGCTGGAGGCTGCTCGGCAGGCCGCTTCGTGATTTTTCATGATATCCTGGACTCCAACCTCTCCTCTGTAGCGACCATGTTGTCGGGCACCTTATTGCTTATAGGAGAGACCGGTCTGGTAAGCGGCCCGCCAAAGGAATCCTGGAGGAACTGTTCTGGTGTTTTTCTGTAGAGAAACTGGGCAGATAGATGCAGACCAGGGAAACGCGCAGGGGTTTATCTGACGTGCCGACAAACAGCTAATCACGGACGAGGACGGTTCCAATGCGGCTGAGCGTCGGGCACCGATCCGGCCGAACGTCGGGCTGAAAGGGTTTCCCTCTCCCCGCTCCTCAAGACACTATTCCTTAGCGAACATACGCGGTTGCCCGTCAATTTGCCTCCGTTAGATGCCAGTGCCTCCCTTCCAACTGGCCTATACGTTCCCCACCATGTCTCCATACGACGAGCGTTTGCCGAAGGGCAGTGTGCGGTTACTCCAGCTTCTGCCCCATCAAGACCAGAATTCCCGCATAGAATGTCGGCTCATTACCTGCTTTATGTTGGACTTAGGAAGAACCCATCCCTACGAGGCCCTATCGTACGTATGGGGATCTGAAAAGAACAAACTGTCTATCTATATAGACGGCGTTGAGCAGCCTGTCCGGGCAAACCTTCACCATGCACTTTCGCATCTTCGAGATTGCTTTGTGGAGAGGGTCCTATGGATAGATGCTATCTGCATCAACCAAGACGGCAACGAGGAAAAAGGGCAGCAGGTTCAGTCTATGGCAAAGATTTATGCCAAAGCAAGTCGAGTAATTATGTGGCTTGTGGACCCACTGAAGGACGCACCGGACAAAGACGACCTAGCGGCCGGCGATCAAGTAGACAACGGAGACCAAGCGCTCGAAGCAATCCGTGCTGCTGCTGAAGAGCGGCGCGTGGATCCTACAATGGACCAAAAGATGATCCTCACTCTGCTTGGACGGGGATGGTTCCAGCGATCTGGGTAAGTGGTAGACGGTCAACAATATGGCAAAGTCGCTATTAACAGAGTTGATGCAGGTACTTCAGGAAGTTGCTGCAGCTCGACATATCCTGATCAAGTCCGGTTCCACAGAAATCGACGGATATGCGTTTTGCGAAGGCTTAAGCGTGCTTAAGCCGTTTGAAACGCGTCCGGACCTGCAGGCCCTAATCCCTCCGATAGCCTACCTCATAAAAGGCGCAGACTTTCGGCGGCGGCATGGCAGAGACTACACTAGTCGGCCGGCTAGGTTTCCCTTAAATATCCGCCCTCTAGGTGAGCTGGTGGATATGTACCACACTCGGTAGGCTACCATCCCTCTCGACAAAGTTTATGCCTTGCTTGGCATGAGCTCAGATGATCCCGGGATCAAAGCCAACTAGGGACCTTCGTGGAAAGACCCCTTTCGAGAACTTGTCAACTTCAGCCTCTCCAATACGGTGTTCGTCAGCACATGGGATGCCAAGGAGGTAGCAGTGATTGAAGCTAAGGGCTACGTTGGCAAAGTATCCTCCGCCGGAGATAATATGGAAATCACTTGGAAGACTGCACCCGGCCATTCCGATGCGAAAGGGGAACCAAGCTCTCCGTTCACCTTCCAGGCTTCAGCAAAGGCCATCAAGTAAGGCGATATTGTCTGCCTTTTGCAGGGAGCATCAAGGTCGATAATCATCAGGCCATGCGACGGTTTTTCGACCATTATCAGGATTGCGGGTCCCCCTACAGACCGTCTGCCAAAATGGTCACATTCGATAACGACCTTTCCCACTGATTTACTGCTTGTCTGGGACTGGGACGAATCTCTAAGAAAATCGCAAGCCGGAGAAAGCTATGAGTACTTCGTGAGCAGTCGAGGGGTTCCTCAGTGTCCTAGGACGGGGTGCCGGTGCCAAGATCATCTGGACAAAGCTGCCAGATTATGGAATTTCGGAATGCTACTGAACGGAATGGAGATGAGCGAGATCCGACCCAGCGACGGAGTCGAGTTCGGGCACGGCCGGCTGACGTACTGGCTGCTGGATACGGTGCGCACTAGCCCGCTATGAGATGGCCGGCTCGCCCGGGAGGGACGAGCTGGACGGCAAGTTCGATAGCGTTGAGATTAATGGACAGCGGATCCTCTATGCGAATGACGAGGCAAACGAGTGACATTTTTTTTTACTACTT